AATTAATTAAAATAGGTTATCAGTAGATAAACATTATTTGACATTATTCTAATTAATTATTTCGTATTTTTAGTTGATTTCGTCAATAATTTTCAAAAAAGGTTCGACGAACATAACTATATGTTCTCTACATTGACAAAGCACCTTCATCCAAATGTTTAGGTTGGTATTTAATTTCATCTCTGTGTAATTGAGAGGAAGCTACTTCGTATACAGTAATATGGATTAACTAAAGTTTTGTAATGAACATTTCTGACTATTTCACGAATTATTCACAATTCATTATTTCAGTTATTCAAATGCTCAATTATGAAATAGGTCATATTTCTTTGATCCGATTAAGTTTATCTGAAAATACATAACGTACTTCACAATTAGACAGTCTCATTCAATAAATACGAAGTACACCAATTCATCGGACGAGAACCGGTGCTTTCAACGCAGATGACATAGTCCTGTTTGGTGAAGACGCTGACAAAATGCAGAATCTTTTGGTAGCACTAAGCAATAATGCCAGAATGTTTCGAATGCACTTCTCTCTCTCGAAATGCAAGTTGTTGCTTCAGGACTGCTCTGCATCAACACCTGAACTAAGGATAGGGAGTGAAGTAGTCGAACGAGTTGACAACTTCACTTATCTTGGAAGTCTGATCAGCCCTAATGGGTTGCTGTCTGACGAAATCTCAGCACGGATTCGAAAAGCTCGCTTGGCTTTTGCCAACTTGCGTCACCTATTGCGAAGGTGAGATATCCGTCTATCAATAAAAGGACGAGCACACTGAGCGGCAGTCCGTTCTGTTTTACTTTACGCCAGCGAAACATGGCCATTAAGAGTAGAAGACACTCGTAAGCTATTAGTATTTGACCACAGATGCCTTAGAAATATTGCTGGCGTCTGCTGGGATCACCGGGTAAGTAATAGTGAGGTTAGATGCAGGGTATTAGGTAATGATGGTAAATCAGTTGATGAGGTTGTGAATCTTCATCGACTGAGATGGTTGGGCCACGTGTTACGTATGCCTGAACGCCGATTACCACGACGTGCAATGCTAACCGGTGTAGGGGATGGTTGGAAGAAAGTTAGGGGCGGCCAAACCAAAACGTGGCATCAGTGCCTGAAGTCACTAACTTCTAGTCTGAGCCATGTTGGTAGATGCAGGCTACTTGGTTGTGGTCCACGTAACTATCGTAACCAATGGTTGAAGACTCTTGGTGACATGGCTCAGAATCGATCACAATGGTGTCGGTGTATACACTCTCTGTCTTCCCTTAAACTAAGAGATTAAAATCACTTCATATCTTTCTTTTTACGAACCAATTCTCTCTTCTTGTACTATATTTCTATATGCAATCTTTCTCTTATATATTACCACCTTTGACCTAACCACTGCTATGAATCCGGTGTTCATCTTGTGCTGATGCGGTATGGTAACCTGGACCGATGTACATATGTGGCTGGTCCTACGTTGTAGCTGACTGACTGACATCAATTCATAATTCAAAAAAATTAAGCAGATACTTTAGGAAATTAAACTCTATACTTTTAGAGAATGGAACATAATTTTTTTTTCAAACATCTTAACATTAAATTGTTGTTTTACCTAGTAGGAGATTTCTTGCAAAACAATGGATAACAGATACGTTTAGATATATTACCTAATAATGTTGTAATTAGATCTAGTATGAAATAATTGTCTAATATTCACTGTACTACATTGGCTTCTTAACAGATGTAATATCTAAGGAAAATTAACTGTATATTAGATTGATTGTCTGAAAATATCCTAATTGAATTATTCTATTGAAAGTGTAGATATATAGTTTCGATCTGAGATTGTTTTCAAGTTAACTAACATAAACGATAAGACAGTTGAACACTGAACATAATAATTTATTTCTGACAATCAATGATAAGTTGCTTACAAATACGAAATAAATTGTGGAAAAATTAGTTTTCATTTTGTTTATTTATTTATCGATTATCATTTTTTACTTCTCAATATGCTGAATGAATCAGATTAGAAGGTGGTTGAAGGTAGTCAATAAGAAACCATAAACTCAGGTTTTATGCTACCTTGCACTCGTCAGCAAGGTGTATCTGTAATCCCGAAGGAGTTGATGCTCCTTGACGGATTTGATTCCTTCACCTAGAATGGCAGTCACATTGCAACTTGGTCAATAGGATTCGATCTGAACTAAAAAAAGACCTTACATGGATCACCACCCAGTGATTCATCAATTGTAAATGAATTAGATGAATCTGAATTAACTGATTTGAAGAAAAAAATAATTATCCTTCTCTGTCTCTGTGAGAAATGTTAATACAATTAGTAACAATGTAACAATGAATCTGTTTGGCAAACAACTTGTGAAATTTCTAAAAATTTCCACAAAACCCATTCTGATAATAATCAACTGCTTACTAGTGGCTGACTTCAGGAAAATACTCCTGTAGTTCTAGTGAAAAGCCGTTACCAGTGGAGTTCAACTAGGTCCGTTGTGATATAGGAACTCACTGAAGACAATGGTGTACGGTGGCGCAACTTCGTGGATTGGTTGAAGTTAGACATTAACACCATTGGATGCCGGGCAGCTCAGTGGTCTACTTGGTTGAACGCCTGGTGCGAGACTGATGGGACCTTGGCTCAAATGCCGCGGGGTGCGGGATCGTGGATGCGCACTGCCACTGAGGAGTCCCATACTAGGACGAAACGGCCTTCCAGTGCTTCCAGGTCTTTCATGGTGGTCTAGCTTCAATTGACTCATGATTTCAACTTGTGAAACAAAAAAGTGTTTAAGCCAAATAGGGAATTTTTTGTTGAATTTTCATTTTATTTTCAATAAAAATAATAAATTTTCTTTTTGTATTTATCAAATAATTAATTTTCATTGTTTCATCGTTTCAATTTAATTCAATTTGCCAATCTTTTTTCTTTTTTTCTTCCTTTTTTTCTTTTCATTTCTGTTAAAAATAAGCAGCTTGAATCCTTGTCATTTGTGTGTATGTCGTAGAATTTGTATTTTTCTTTTTTTCTTTTCTTCTTCTTTTTTTTCTCTTTTTCAAAATGCATTTATGATGTTTATTATTTATATGGGTGAAATTCATGTGTTACTTACTTACTGTCTGAACATAACAGGTTTATATACCTTTTTTCTTCTTTTTGAGTTCATTGTTCATTAGTAAACATAAAGAACATTGTTGTTGTTGTTGTTTTTTTTACAATCTAATAATTCGATTAAAAACGTTCAAAATTTTATCTTTTTTTTCGGAAATTTTTAATTGTTTAAATTAGAAAAAACAATTGAATATGAAATTCTTATGGTATAGATTATTGTACCTTCATTTACTATGATGATATAATAATGCCCAAATGCTCTGATACGGCCGAGAGTGGGGAGATCCGCTCCCCTCTCCAATGCTCTCAATGGCACGCTATATACCCCTCTGCCAGGGAATCCTCTCACTACCTTCGTGGCATGTTTTAGAAAATGAGAGACGAAAACAAGTCAGCGCTTTACGGATTCCAAAAATGGTGCACATGGGCTCCAGTATCCTGGGGAACAAATGTGTATGAACCAATTGTTGGTCACCGGCTCCATGGGACTCTTCCTCACGATGCTCCACTGCCTTTGGATCAGACCTTCAGGTCGAAGGCTGAGTGGCTCCTAAAAAAATCACCTGCTTCGGTTTGGCACCCGGCAATATCACAGCCCTCACACATATCAATGAGATTTGTGTGGGATATGTATTTGGTGCTCCTTGTACCAATATCTATTGTTAAATAAATAAATATAATAATAATAGTAATTATTTAGTTATACAGACTACAATCAGTCAGTCCTTTTAGTATATATCTATCTACTAACAAGAACGGATTGGTTTAGTATTGCTATCAGTGCTAAGCATTTTTTTAAGCAGAAATGGATAGTGCTTACTATCGGAATGTATAATGCTTGTTTTGTCTTGTTTGAGACTCATCAGCTAGATATGCTTGTATCTCAGTGTTGCTTTTCACTCAGAGACCTGAATCCAGTGTGTTGTGCTTGATACTAACTTGCTATCCACTTTGTTACTCAGTCCAGATAGTTATTCATCGTCAAAATATATCAGCTGAACAATTTCTAGTTTAAGGTTAACTTTTTTTAATCCTAGTAAATTTTTTTTTTTTCTTTGACTAATCATCAGCAGATGTCAGTAAAATCATATAAATAAATACGTTTCGATCACTGAGTCATATTGGTCTCCGGAGAGTGAGTAAAATTGGCTCCTAGAATCGCCTTTCGTTTTTAAATTGCATTGTGAGAATCTCATGATTTCCTGTAGCAGTACAGTTTTGCTGGTATAACACTTTTTTACCAGTGATGTTTTATCTTTGAGATGAGGAAGGGTGTCTTTATTTGTTAAGTTTGGCGGCTCCATTTCTTGACCATGATGAAACGTGTTCTTGAGCTTGTAATATGGAAATCAATTCAGTTATTTTCTAGCTTTTCAAACAATTCCAATATTATATGATCTTAGATGTATATCAACTTTTTAGTGCTGTGAAGAATGTGAAATTCAGTTATGAATCTTGTTACAAAAATGAATAGAAAGTCAACCGATTTGTTTACATGTTATTTTTTCGATTACATATCAAAGTCAGTAGGGATAAATATTAAAACATGCATTTTGACTCGATTTCATACTAAGCATACATGTAATGTAAGCAATACTTTAAACTATGTGTGTCGAGGAAACTCCCCTACAGTCCCTCTTGTGGCTACTGCCGTCCAAGCCCGGATAATAAGAGGTTGAGCATAGGGTTAACGTCCTCATCGTAGAAAACTAACTCGCTAAAAAACGCTAACCAGAAAAAATTATGTGTGTAAAGGTAATGTGATTTTTTTTTCAGCAACAATAAAGTATTATCGTTATGTGTTTAAACAATTATTCATTGATATTGAACTTGATTTGTTCAATCTATTGAATTGTACAAATTTAATAAATTTTAATTACATAGAGGAACGTGATCATATACAAAAATGTTTGTTTACCAATTGGATTAATGCTCAATTAGATGGAGTGTTTTCATCGGAATTTCTCACTTATCTATCTTATCCAAATGATCTACATAATAGTTGGGCATATCATAATAGTTCAATGAATAGATTACCACATTCACCATCATGGGAAACATCACCATCAACACATAGATCATATGCTATTGGACATACTTATTTAGTGAAAGAACTATATAACGATTTACGTGATGGAAGAATTTTACTTCGCTTATTAGAATTACTTTCAGGAAAACAATTTGTAAGTTCCAATAAAAATATCGATACATTTTTTTTGAAATATTTTTTTTGGCCATGACACATCATTCCATTTTTTTTTAATAAAATGAATGATATACGAATTCTTCTTTCAAACAAGTATGATATTCACCATGGTAACAAAAATATCGTTTGACTATTGTCTTAAAATTATACCTATGAAAAATGAGGATCATTTCGATATGATGATGTGAGAATCCAGATTATTGATTAGTGAAATAACGATGGATAGATAACAGTTATTGATTATTTTGTGTGTAATATAATCGAATAGGAGAAAAAGTGCTGAACAAAAAATTGATTTGAAGATCATTATTAAATTTCTGAAATATTGGATAGATTGACTTATAGGTTTTTCTATTACAATTAAACATAATTTGATGTATCACATTAAGGAATTAAGAATAAACTAAGTGATCAATTGAACTTTGATTACATAATTAGAATATCATAAGAATCGTTTTAAATTAACTAAATCAGCTTTATTGAAATTGTGGTTCAAATGTGCTAAAAAGATCTGCACAGTAGACACTCTAACTCGGGAGCTTGAATTCATCAACAACTCACTGACTGAGATTGGCTACCCCAGTGCTTTCATTAAGAAGTACATGTATGACATAATAAAGAAGTCGGAGATTTCGACTGTTCGTAAGAAACTTTTATATATGAAACTATAATTCAACGGAGATGTGGCCAGTTATACTCTGAAATATAGGTTAACGAAATTAATCATCAGGACATTCTACGCAGTCAATCTTGCGTTGGCTTTCTCTTGTCGACCAGCAATGTCTATTCAAACGAAGAATAAGTTGCCTGAGTTGGCCTCTTCAATGTGCATTTACAAATTCAGCTGCTCGTGTGGAGATAGCTATATCGGGCGTACTACCAGACAACTTAACCAACGAATGAGTGAACATCTACTAGCGTGGTTTATAAAGGGTCAGATAAAAACAATTCTCAGTTCTATCTTGGCACATCTCATTGATAGCGGTAATGTTGTAGATAAATCGAAATCATTTCAACTGATCTATCGTATACCTCCATCATTTCCCAACGGAGTTTGTTCCCGCCTCCTACATATAGCTGAATCCATAGGAATTCGTACATATAACCCTAATTTATGTGTACAGAAGAAATTCGTAACCCCCCTTATCCCTCCCATGGCCAGTTCTAACTTACTTAACGCCCTTTTTTCTTTTTTTTGCTTTCTTTCTTTTAATTATTCTTTTTGTTATCTATTTATTTTATTCTATTTTTGTTATCATTAGGCTTGTTTTCACATCTAGTATTTGTTTGTAATTTTCCGCTTCTTTCTGTTTGTATTCTTCAATATCTAATTAGTTACACACTTCTTATTACGTAATGATTTGAATGTTTTGGTGTTGACTATTCCCAGTCTATTTACCCACGTTTGCTTGACCTTTTATTTCCAACGTTTAACTATTGATAAGACTTTTGTTATTGTGTTTCATTATTCTTACTACTATCAGTTCACCTGTGTTTCTACTATCAATTTGTCACAATTGATTGATCACTGGGTGGTGATCAATGTCATGCTTGTCTAGTCCAGGGTTTCCTGTTGACTACCTCCAACTACCATCTAACTATCAATTTGTATTTTTACCTATTAGGTGTAGAGACTTATTCTATTTCATTGTGATTATTGACCCATATTACCTTGATTACTTTCAACATTTTCATATCAATATTCATATATATTAGAGTAAAGCTTGATGACGATCTCATTGAAAACAATATAGTTCACTTATATGTGTTGTTCTTACTTATCATTTTGTGGATTTATTCAATCATTTCAATCTTAGTTCGTAAGAAATCAATATATTCAAGGAGTCATATTTTCGAAAATACTTCTTGTTAAAAGATTCAAGACACAACTGATAGATAAACTGTAATCATTGTAAACTATTTTAGAGGAGCAAGTTCAACCTATATATAAGGAGTTAATTAGGTTGACTTTTATTTTTTAAAACGTTTGACAGTTACTATACTGTAGGATTACAGTCAGATCCTCAAATGCTTATCTATAGCTGTGTGAAAAAGTGTGAGCTATATGGTCATATGAACCAACATTATATTGTCCTTTTTGAAACAAAATGGTCGAATACATATAAGTGATTAGTAGTTTTAAGAGGTAAGAATTAGTAACATTTGAAAATAGATCAGCATACATTAAAATGAAGAAAAACCCAAGAAACTATTCATTTTGCGATCTAAATATGTGAATGAAACTTGCAAAACTCTGACTAATTTATTACAAAAGTATCTATAGTAAGTGACAATGGCAGGGAATAGAAGTGATTCTTTCGTTTATGCATGTGTGAAGATAAAATGAACCATTCCTGATTAGCTGGTAGTGTATGTGAAATTCAATCGAAATTTAGTTATTTCGATAGTAGGATATGATTTGTTATGCGTATTTAAAAACAAAGTTTCAATTTGGCATAATAATAAATTATGATATTGCCAAAAGGCAGGCTTTCAATCGAGAACAACTATATTTTCTCCATGAGTGTCTTCGCCAGCATGTTTTACCAACAAGTTTAAAATATAGACTTCCAATTAACTGCCCATTAGAATGGAAAATAGCTGAGCAAAGTGGAAGAAAAATGGTACACCTAATGATAACGGATGCACACTACAGGATCCGAAAATATCAACACGTCATAGAGGACTGAAAGATGAAGCTACAAAGGATAATCACATCAGAACATTTGTAAATCTTGATATCATGCAAACGACATAGAGAACAAAGAAGAAACACCTTAAAGAAAAAACTAATCAAGATTTCAAAACCACCGATGGAAGAAAACACAAAAAACTGCGTAATCAATTTGTCAAAACAACCTCTAACAAATACAGAAGAACACCTACTCCAAAAAGGATTAAACTACAATACAAGCGACGCCTCAGAGCTGGAATTCTTCGCAGCACTAGAGTCATCAGTCAAAACTTGCGGAATCAGTGAAGAAGCACAACAGGAAATAAGACAAACTATAGTACCGCTAACTTAACAGGTGAAGGAAAACAACCAGCTGACTCCACTAAACAAAAGGCTTTGAAGGAACTCAGGAATACAAAGGATATTGTCACAAACCAGAGGACGAAGGACGCACCACAGTAGTCATGAACAAAGAAGAATATGTCAACAAAGCCGAATAACTACTTGAAGATAAGTATTCAAACTTCTCCAATATTGAATTATTAGTCATCTAAAAGGTAAATGTTTTGTTATTAAGAAATTTCATAATGAATTTACTAATAATAATCTTTGATTCTTTGGTAAATCTTAAGAAACACACAAAAAAATCTACACACTGAATTTTTACTTGTATAAGTTATTACAGTAGATCTTAAAAGTTAAGCAAATAGTTAACTGTGCATAGGGTTTTGGACATGAAATGAAAATATAATCGTCGCATACCATTTACTGCTTTTGAAGGTCAGTATATGTATATAGACATAATTTTAATTTCACAGATTGAAATCATGAGTCAGTTGAAGCTAGACTACCATGGAAAACCTGAAAGCACTGAACGGCCGTTTCGTCCTAGTATGGGACTCCTCAGCAGTGCGCATCACGACCCCGCACCCCGTGGGGTTCGAGCTCAGGACCTACTGGTTTCGCGCGCGAGCACTTAACTATTAGACCACTGAGTCGGCATCCAACAGTGTTAATCTCTAACTTCAACCAATCCACCAAGTTGCGCCACCGTACACCATTGTCTTCAATGAGTTCCTATCTCCCAACAGACCTAGTTGAACTCCACTTGTAACAACTTCTCACTAGAACTCCAGGAGTATCTCCTGAAGTCAGTCACTAGTGAGCAGTATAACATAAGTATTAAAATATCTAAGATATTTTTATGCAGTTAGATTTCATCTTGATATGATTGAAAATGAAAGTAATAATAAACATTTATGCATTTCATATTGCTTCTTATCAACCTTTCAATCAACTGAACTCTAAGGTAGTTGCAGATTATAGTATAAGTAGGCTGAATTCATGTTTTATAAGAATAGATACATTCACTTATACAATATGTTAACCTCCTTTTACTTTTTTATTGAATTATACTTGCTAAAACAATTTGTTGAGCTTATTTCATTGTTAATTAATCTAATTAGATTGGCAGTGAAAATGAGATCTAACTTAAAATGATAATAACTAGAGATTTATTAGTCTACTGAGTAGAGTAAAAGAAGGATACGAATTAGTACAAATGATATCTTGAAATAGTATACTTCATCAAGCTTATACAATATCAGTCAGTCAGTCAGTTACAACGTAGGATCAGGCACATATATGCATCGATCAAAGTTGCCATACTTCATTAACACAACAAGATGAACACCGGATTCATTAAAGTAGTTAATTCAAAGGTGGTAGTGATATATAAAAGAAAGATTGCAATAAGGATATAGTACAGGATGAAAGAATTAGTTCGTAGAAAGCGATTTTAATCTCTAAGTTTAAGGGAAGATAGAGAGTGTATACAATATCTGTTGACATATATCTAAGTGTTAAATGAATACAAGTTTTCTAAGTATATAAAGAGGTGAGATTGCGAAGTCTATGTATACGGATTCATCAATATACCTGAAGTATTATAACAGATCACGTGAAATTGAGTTAGTTCACAATTAGTTCAATCAAGTTATTTTATTAACTTATTAACGAACTGAATCATCTTAACAGCAACTTATCTATATCATTGTATCTTTATTACTATTGCGAATGTGTGAACATATATGCTTGAATATTGGTTACGGCCCTCGCATTTATTCACTCTGCTAGTCTTACTACTAACCACTTATTTGATTCGATGACTCATTCATTTCACTATGTATATATATATGTCCATGTTGTTCATATTCATTGCTCTCGCACTCTCTCTCTCTCTTGCCTGATTGTACTCGATTGCTTGACTTTCGGAACAACTCTTCTATTCTTGTTTAACGCAT